TGAATCTTAGGGATGGGTATACACATGGGTTTCCTTTTATTTTTCCTATATTTGTATGTATACTTAAATGTTTTTCATGATAAAAATAGAAAGAGAAGAGACAGAAGCCAACTTGAAGAAACTCCCATTGACCAAAGATGAGATCATTTTAGTATCAAAAACAATGTCCAGCCTGGGCAACATAGTAAGACCCCATCTCCACAAAAAATTTAAAAACTAGCTAGGTGTTTTTAAACCTGAGTCTCCTGTAGTCTCTGCTACTTGGGAGGCTGAACTGGGAGGATCACTTGAACCTAGAAATTTGAGGATGTAGTTAGCTATGATTGTGCCACTGCACTCCAGCCTGGACAACAGAGCAAGACCCTGTCTCCAAAAAAGAATGATTGCAATGGGTCGAAATACATGATCGAATATACCCAAATTTATAAATACATAGTAATATTCCATTTAAAAAAGAAAACAACTTACTGGTCACCTTGAGAAGCTGCTGAGGCAAAAGTTCATTATTCTAAAAATAGATAAGAGAATGTTTTTCTTATAAAGACTGTATTTCAGTGAACCAAATAGCTAGCTGGTAAGAGAAAATTTTTTTTATAGACAAATCATAGCTAATAAATGCTGAAGGGATAATATAATTAGACTATCAGGCCAGTCACAGTGGCTTCTGCCTGAAATTTCAGCACTTTGGGAGGCCGAGGTGGGCAGACCTTTAGAGGCAGGAGTTCGAGACCAGCCTGGGCAACAAGGTGAAACCCTGTCACCACTAAAAAATACAAAAATTAGCCGGGCATGGTGGTGCATGCCTGTAATCTCAGCTACTCAGGAGGCTGAGAAACTCAGGAGGCGGAGGCTGCAGCGCCACTCCAGCCTGGGCGACAGAGTAAGGCTGTCTCAAAAAAATAAAAAGAAAAGAAAGAAAGAAAACCATCATTTTTCAGACTCTAACAAAATAATCATCATCATTTGCAGCTAAAACCACTAGCTAAGAGGCTGATGGAAAAATATCATAATGAATGAAATGGACTGACGATACTTGAATCCACTGTTGAATTTTAACATCACGCCTATCAAAAGTGAACTACAACTTAGTCTTCAAACTAATAGATGCACTTTTCAGTTTAAAGGAAGTAAGAGAGATAAAGGAACACGGTAAATAAAACCTGGGGACACAATCAGCAAAATCCACAATGTGCAGAATTCTACAAAACAGATGAGGGTAAGTGAATGATTTTACAACTAAAATGATTTAAAGAGCTGAGCTTGGTGTCTCATGCTTGTAAACCCAGCACTTTGGGAGGCTGAGGTGGGCAGATTGCTTGAGCCTAGAAGTTTGAGATCAGCCTGGGCAAATGGTGAAACACCATCTCTACAAAAAAATACAAAAATAAAATAAAGTAAAATGATTGAAGAGACATGATAGCCAAATGGGCACATCTTATCTGGCTCTTGAAATGAAAAAATCAACTATGAAAAAACATCTTCTAGATATTAAAGGAAATTGAAAAAACTAGGTATTGGATGACACTAAGAAATTGTTAAGTTCAACATGATAATGGCATTGTGGTTTTTTTAAAAAAGCATTACCTGTTAGAGATCTATAGTGATATATTTATGGGTGAGACAAGATAATACCTAGGCTTGTTTGTTTTTGATACGAAATCTTGCTCTATCACTCAGACTGGAGTGCAGTGATGTGATCTTGGCTCACTGTAGCCTCTGCCTCCCGGGTTCAAGCGATTCTCCTGCCTCAGCCTCCTAAGTAGGTGGGATTACAGGTGCCCGCCACCACGCCCAGCTAATTTTTGTATTTTTAGTAGAGATGGGTTTTCACCATGTTGGCCAGGCTGGTCTTGAACTCCTGACCTCAAGTGATCTGCCCACCTTGGCCTCCCAAAGTGCTGGGATTACTGGCATGAGCCACCACACCCGGCCAGATTGGTTTTAAAATACTCCAGCAAAAAAAGGGAAGAGTAACTATATTTTTTCATGTTTCAAAATTTCTATAATAAAGAAGTTTTTAAATGGAAAAGCAACCAAAATGAGATAACACTTCATACATGCTAAGAATGGAAGAATGGATATAATAAAAAAGATAATAACAAGTGTTGACATGGATATGAAGAAATTGAAACCTTTATACACTGCTGGTAAGAGTATAAAATGTCACAGCCACTTTGGAAAATAGTCTGGCAGTCTATCAGTTAAATACAGAGTTACCATGTGATCTAGCAATTCCGCTCCCAGGTCATATCCAAGAGAAGTGAAAAGATATGTCCACACAGAATTTTGTACGTAAATGTTCAAAGTAGCATTATCCATAACAGCTAACAAGTAGAAACAACCCAACTGTCCATCAACTAATTAATGAATTTAAAATATACTACATCCATATGATGGAATGTTATTTGGCAATAAAAAGGAATTTATTTACATGCTAAAACATGAATGAAACCTTGAAAACATTACGCTAAGTGAAAGAAAACAAACAACCACATGTTACATAATTTCATTTATCAGAAATGTGCAGAATAGGTCCATAGAGACAGAAGGCTGATTAGTGGGTGGATAGGGCTGAGGAGGATAGGGAAGAATGGAGACTGATGGCTAAAGGCACAGGGTTTCTTTATGGGGCAATGAAAATATTCAAAATTGTGGTGATATCCATGGGCACAACTATGAAGCTAGTAAAAGCCACTGAATTGTAAGCTTTAAATGAGTGAACTGTATGGTATATACAAATTATATTTCAATGAAGCTGCTAAAAAGATAAACAGCATAGTGGAAGAAGGATGAAAGATAAAAACTTAGTGAGTGCCATACACTAGAATAAAAACAGAAGGCAAAAATCTGATTTGGAGTTGTGGTGACATCCATAGGGCACAACTATGAAGATACTAAAAGCCACTGAATTGTAAGTTTTATATGAGTGAACTGTATAGTATATACAAATTATATTTCAATAAAACTGCTAAAAAGATAAACTGCACAGTGGAAGAGAGGATGAAAGATGAAAACTTAGTGAGTGTCACACCCTACAATAAAAACAGAAAGCAAAAATCTGATATGCAGTTGGGAACCACAGACCAAGGACTATTAATAGAACTTATAAAATTCCACAATTTTTGTATAAGTTATATTTGGTTTTTAAATTGTTTTAGTCCCTTCTTCTGATTCTGCATAATGACACACAGTAAAGCCTATAAAACAAAAAAAGTACAACATGCTTCTTTATCAGGAAAACAAGGATGATGGCAGTCTGAAAGGTACCACTCCACAGCCAGGCTTCAGATGAACAAAAACACAAAGTAATGTAGATGCAAAAAAAGCAGAAATGCTCAGAGTTACTAAGTGGAGAAGGAGGACTGGAGCTTTCAACAACAAAGAAAAGTTGGGATGCTGGTGTGGGCATGAGAAGAGTTATACAGTTTAATAACAGAAAGCCTACCAAGAATAAAAGAGGTAAGGGAAAACCCTGAAAAGAGTAGATGTTGCTTGTCCCAAATGCCATTTCTTCATCTTTCATTTAACTCACTGTGGGTTGAACTATGTCCTAAAAGATATGTTAGACTTCTAACCCTAAGTATCTGTGAATATGACCTTATTTTGAAACAAGGTCTCTGCAGACATAATCAAACTAATTCAATGACTAGCGTCCTTATAAGAAAAATGGAAATTTAGACACAGACACACAGAGACAGGAGAATGCATTGTGAAGACACAGACAGACACACAGGGAGGCACGTGACAACGAAGGCAGAGATCAGAATGATACATCTACAAGCTAAGGAACAGCAAGGACTGCCAGCAGCCATCAGAGGTAGAAGGGTATAGGATGCTTCCTCCTTCAGAGCCTCCAGATGGAGCTGAACTGATCTTGCTGACAGCCTAATTTCAGACTTCCAGTCTCCAGAACTGTGTGAAAACAAATTTTGGTTGTTGTAAGTCACCTAGTTTGTAGAACTTTGTTATGGCAGCTGTAGGAAACAAATACAGTCATCAAACCACTGCATTTCCCTTTATGTACTAGTCTATGGATGTGTACTCGTCATCAATCACCAAATCCAATAGCTCTATTTCATAATTCACTTGTTTTAACATGGGATACTGTCAAGAATTTCTGCCTTGGATCTGTTTTTTCCTTTGTTCCATGAATCTTTCCTGGTTATGTTATTCTCGCTCTTTAAGGTTGCCCTTTCTCAGTCTCTTTTGTTTCTCAGAATTCTATGTTTAAGGTTTCCCAAGATTTTGTTCTTGAATACTGTCTCCATATGCTCTACCTGAGGAAGTTTTTCCATTCCTATGACTTCAATTGTTTCTCATATATTAATGAAGCTCTATGCCTACAGCTCCCTACCCCATTCAAACCTCAGCTTCTGATTATCTCATGAAATTGTTTATCAAAAATTTCTGCTGAAATATCCTCTGGCACTCAAAGTATATCTTACAATCAGACCCATTTTTTAGTAGCCCACGTGTCCAAAATAAACAAATTTATCATCTTTTCTCTCCCTCAGCAAGAACAAAAACATTCTCCAATCCTGATGCCCCAGGTTGAGCTGAATGTGTTCTCTTATACACACCAGCCTCATCTCTGGAGGTAAGTTAGGACTGGCAAGACCAAACAATGCAACAGTCTAAACATCCTCAAAAACAGGACACAAATAAGAATAATATCCAAAAATCTGGGAGACAGTAGAAGCAAAAGAAATGCCTCCAACTCACACACAAAAGAGGACAGATTCCCTGGTGCAAGCTCCTTCCCTAACAGTCCAGAGCCAGACTAGTACCACAGAATGGGAGAATGGGAAGAACAGAATAAATGGGAGATGGGACCTTCTAGTGACATTTCAGGAAATCTTCTAGCTGTCTTTTTTCTTTAACGCAATTTAAATGATTTCATTCTCAGGACAACATGCTCTTGGACCCCTTCCTGGGCAACCTATAAAGAGTATTGGAGATTTCCCCCTATCCCTCTATACTGCAAATAAGGCTGCTCCTACCTCATTGTCAGCTCCCAAGGCATTGATTTGCTCCCATTTGTAGGTCCAATATCTGGCTTCCTCCTCTGGGATATCTATCATTAAAAAAAAAAAAGAAGAAGAAGAAGAAGAAAAGAAATCACATCAGCAGGTAATAAATCATCAGCAGATAATACTTTATTCAGTCTAATGACTGAAGTTAGAGGGTAGTAGTGATGCACAAGTTTTAACTGGTGGTTTGGTTCTTGTCATGAACATTATCTTTACTCTTCACAAAAACCAATATAATGTACGTTATTCCCATTGTTGTTTTGTAGATGAAGAAGCTGAAGTTCAGAGCGGTAAAATAATCTGGCCAGGGTGACAGTTTATAAAGAGATGAGCCATGATTCAAACCATGGTTTGTATGATTCCAAAAACTACATTCTTTCTATGTAACCGTACTACCTTCCCCTCAGTAAGACCAAAACCATCCAAAGGATTAGCTTAGAAGAAAAGTCACATGCTGAGATATTGAGATGCTCAAAATTCAAAGGTTTTCTCCCAAAAAAATTAAAAGTAGAATTACCATGTGACACAGTTCTCCCACTTTGGATTATATATATGAAAGAGGTGAAAGCAGGATCTCAAAGAGACATTTGCACACCCAAGTTCCTAGTAGCATTATTCACAATAACCTAGAGTTGAAGAACCCAAGTGTCCACTAATGGATGAAAGGATTAACAAAATGAGAGACTTGCATATGGAGCATTATTCAGCCTTAAAAGGAAGAAAATCCTGCCACATGCCATAACATGGATAAACTTCGAGGACATTACACTAAATGAAATAAGTCCATCACAAAAAAAGACAAATACTGCATGATTTCACTTATGTAAGGTAACTAAAGTAGTCAAATTCACAGAAAAGAAAGAATGGTGGTTGCCAGTGGCTGTGGGGAGGGGGAAATGAGAAGTTGTTCGATGGGGACAGAGTTTTAGTTTTGCAAGGTGAAAAAGTTCTGGATATCTGCTGCACAACAATGTGAATGTACTTAACACTAGTGAACTGTACACTTAAAAATGGTTAAGATGCTAAATTTTCAGTTATGTCTCTTACCACAATTAAAAATTTTTTAAAAAGAAGCTATTAAAAAATACTCCATAGGTTTTATGCCTGGAAAGTATTAGATGATCAAATATTTGCTAAGTGAGTCACTAACTGAAAATATTTGAATTCTTAAAAAATAATGGTATAATGGTATATCCTCATTTCTAAATATTTCAAATTGACTGTAACAACTTATCCCCAAAACTCACCTTTTAAAAACATCAAGTATGACCATATTACCAGCAGTAAAGAGAAACACTCAGGCAATATATGGATCATATCAACTTCAGAGACATTTAAACAGATACACTTTCTAGTAGCCCACATGAATAAAGCAAATATAGCCCTTTCCTTTCTCCTTTGTTCCACCTGTCCAAAACTTCAGTTCCTTCCCTTCAACTAGCTCTTTAACAATTGGCAGCAATATTTCAAAGTCTTATTTAAAAACACACACACTCACCTTCAAATAGTCTACAACGTAATTTGTATAGTGCTTTCTCATACATATGGTACATCCATAAAATGGTATACTATGCACCCGTTACAAAAAAGGAGAGTGGGAGGTGCAAGGTGGAAGAGGAGCTGCTGCTGCTGCCGGTCTATATGCCCTGATGTGGGATGATTTACCAAGATATATTAAATGCAAAACAGCAAGGCACAGGGAATGTGTTAGAATATGCTACTATTTGCATTTTTAAAAGAAGATAGTGGGGGGGTGTGTGTGTGTGTGTGTGTGTGTTTGTGTGTGTGTGTGCTTATATTCAGAAACTGACTCTGGAAAGATACACAAGAAAGTATTAATAGTGGTGGCCTATAGGAAGAAAATTGATTTCTGAAGGGACTTTTCACTGGATAACTTCTTAAACCATTGTAAATTTATTCCTGCCTCACTCCACAAAAATAGTTTTAAGGAGAAAAAATATAGAGAGATACAAGCATGTTTATCGCAGTGCTATTTATAACAGTATAAACTTCAAACAATCAAAATACCCAACAAGAAGTAGTTAAATGTATTATACAAATAGTTAAAATTAAAAGCCCCAGCTCTAGAGTCAGACCATGGCCAAAATACTTAAATACTCTCTGTCTTAGTTTGCTTATCTCTAAAGTGGGGAATAATAGTTGGGTCTGCCTCAAAGGACTGAAATGAGGATTAACTGAGCTAACATATGTGAATACTTAGTGACATGTCCACCAGCACACAATAATTCACCATAAATGTTATTTTGTTATTATTAAATCTTTTTTTTTTTTTTTGAGACAGAGTCTCGCTCTATCGCCCAGGCTGGAGTGCAGTGGCGCAATCTCGGCTCACTGCAACCTCCATGCCTCCTGGGTTCAAGCGATTCTCCTGCCTCAGCCTCCTGAGTAGCTTAGATTACAGGTGCGCGATACCACGCCCAGCTAATTTTTTCTATTTTTAGTAGAGATGGGGTTTCACCATGTTGGTCAGACTGGTCTCAAACTCCTGACCTCATGATCCGCCCACCTCAGCATCCCAAAATGTTGGGATTACAGGTGTGAGTCACTGTGCCCGGCCCTGATTTTTAAATAAAATCAACCACTAAAAGTAGAAGAATAATGTCTATTTTATATAATATTTGTAACTATGTAATTAGTGAGTGAAATCAGTCAAAAAGTAATACAACATTAAAAATACAACCATTTAAAGTCTCTGGAAATGGTCCTAAGTGCATACATCAAACAAAAAAACATTTATTCAAGACTATCTACTAAAATTTGGTGAAAATGGACAGTATCTGTGGTATTTGAACCAACACCCCACTCCCTCCAGTTGATTTTCCCTTCACTTGCAGCTTGGTCTACGTCCCACAAGAAAGACTTCCTTTCTATTTTTCTGAAATAATAGTTGTTCTGAGTTTAGTTCTTTCCGAGTTAGCTGGAAAATCATGTCATTTTTGCTTAAATCACCATAGGATACAAGATACAAATACACTGAGATCATAAAACAACAGCAATAACAACAGGATATGCAAATATCAATAATATGAATGGTAAAAAATTAAAATAAAACTAACGGAAATCAACTAAACTAAAACAAGACACCATACAAAAAATCAAATAAAGATTAATTGGGAAATACAAAAGACTGCCAAGGATGTGCAGAAACAGGCACTCCTCAGATATAATTTATAAGAGTATAAATTGGTATAACCTTTTGGACAAGGAACTTAGTAGATTCCATAAAAAGTAATTGTGTACATACCCTTTGATCCAGCAATTCTACTTTAAGAAATTTATTCTAGACTCAAAATGGGCAAAGATATACAGAGTTGTTAGTTAGCAGTATGTAACATCAAAAAAAAATTGAAAAAACCTACATGTCAATCAATAAAGGAGTACTTAAATAAATTATGGTAGGCCGGGCGTGGTGGCTCACACTTGTAATTCCAGCACTTTAGAAAGCCGGGGTGGGCAGATCATTTGAGGTCAGGAGTTCAAGACCAGCCTGACCAACATGGTGAAACTCTGTCTCTACTAAAAAATACAAAAAATTAACCAGATGTGGTAGCACAAGCCTGTAATCTCAGTGACTCGGGAAGCTGAGGCATGAGAATTACTTGAACCCAGGAGGCAGAGGTTGCAGTGAGCCAAGATCGTGCTGCTGCCCTAAAGCCTAGGCAGAGCAAGACTCCATCTCAAAAAAATGAAAAAAAAACAAAAACAAAAAAGAAAAACACAAAAACAAAAAAAAAGTTAAATTATGGTAGAGGCATCTGTTCAAATGAACAAGATAGATCTTAAAGTATAACATGGAACGATGTCCAGGATAAATGTCTAAGTAGTTTGTAAAACACTATATATCAGTATATACATATTATATAGAGTATGATCCAAATTTTGCCAAAATAAGTTTTTAGAAAATAAGTATCATGTGTCTAAACCAAAATACAAGAATGTTAACAGTGGTTTCACACTGGGAAATGCAAAGAAGGTTAAAGGAACTGGGAAAATAAACTTTTAACTTTATCCATGTACATTTTCTTACTATTTAAATTTTTATCATGAGCATGTATTGTGATTTAATTTACATTTTAAATTGTTATTCATCAGTGCTATTTCTTAAATTAACAAATCAGAAGGTATATATAGTCACTTCAAGACAATAAATGTTTATTTTCAAAATAATAAATCTAACAAGCAAATATTTCGTAAGTCATTATAATAAATAGTCACAGAAAATTAGATGAGTTGAAGAGAATGCTTTTTAGTGTAGATTCTTTAAAGCGCACCATTCTATATTCTACTTTGCACCATTCCCTGGGTGAAGTGTTAAAAGAAAGAGAGTGAATGAAGACAGAATATCCTCAAAAGAGATGGCTGAGGTGACAAAATACACATTAATGAAACAACTAGCAAACAATTCCAAACAATATGGTAAAAATTATTAAATAGTTTTAAAATTTTAATCAAATAGACTCACCAAAAGGCAACTCAAATCTTGTATCAAGCAAAATTTTATGAGGAGTTGGGTTTCTAGTTCCACAGATCTCATCATCTTTCATTAACGTCTCTGCCTCCAATGTGGACCATTCCCCAGGCCCTTCCTAGGACACAAAGATCTAAGATTAAAGTTTAATCTTTCTTGGCTCCCTCTTAGTTCAAGAGTCAGGTTTTTTTCTCTGAAGTTCCGTGCTTGAGCTTCTGAGGGCCATTCACATCCTGATAAGGCAAACACACCACTGTCACCACCTGCCTCCACTGCATGTGGCTTCCGTTTTCCCTCTTTGGTGGGGAAGCAGCTTTCAGTGCTCAGCTCTGCAGGTCTAACGAGGACAAAATGTCTCGAGTAGCATACTCTAAAACTAAGCACCTCTGTGGATCAATATTTAACCTGCACAGTTCTTAATGACTGTGTCACTGTTTCTAGTCAGTAAAAAGCTACTAACATTGCTGGCTAAATAGGACTGAACTGGGATTGCAATGAAAATGAACTGCCCATCTGCCTGGGGGAGTAGAGACTTAGCTAGAACTAAAAGAAATACAGAAAATAGAGGCAACTTCAACTTCCCCACTCCCAGAGAAAACTCATGGTCCATGTTAACACCAAATAGGAATATAACAGATTTTGTCCAGGTGCAAAGTGGGGAAATGATGCTCAGTTATGGTCTAGTCTAGGAAAGTGAGGCAAGAGTTCAATCCTAGAAAAAACGTATAGACAGTGTGAATATAAATTGCCAAACCTGGTAGTTCCTCAAACTCTGTTAGGGTTACATGCAGAAGAAGGGCACTGAAAATCAGTTCCTTGGAGATTGGTAACTCAAAGAAACAAAGCAGGGAATAGCCAGCCAGCTGGCTAAGGAAGTTTAATGGGACTCCTCCCAGGGCAGCGACTTAGAGGAGAACATAGAAACCACAAGTACCCTAAGTAAACACACACACACAGACACACACATACCTCAGAAGGGACTATCTACCTGATAAGGCTGAAGAGGTGCTCTGGAGCCTGTGAGTTCAGTCACAGGACACAGGGTAGGCCAGACTTAAATAAAATCATCTGAACCTTCAGGTGAAGTTAGGAACAGGCAGGTTGCATGCCCTCTAATTAGAAAGGGGGAAGAATAATCCAAGATGCATGGATGAATATTAGCTAAAGTGGAGCTAGCATGGGGAGAAGCAAGGGCTGGGAACCATACTTCCAAACAGGCAATGCAATGACTGACCTCATCCGACTGACGAATAGTCTTCAGTGCAATCCACACAGTCCCCACCATGGTGTCCCAGATCAGTCCTTTGTTCCATACCTCCACACTTAGACCCAGGTCCAGGCGACTAATCTCACTAAGAGAAAGAGGAAAGCCCTTTGAGGAAAGCTAGACAATATGAAAGAAACAACTACATCTCCTGTTTTGCTAAACTTTGAATGCTTTCTCACCAGGATCCTGTCTTCAGGGAAAATCAAAATTTCCCAGAATGCCATGACCATTTTTAGGCTCCAAGAAACCTATGTAAGGTGTCCACAGAAAACTGCCTTTGTTACAGTTAAATAAGTTCCAGAGACCTGCTGCTCTACCACATAGTGCCTCCAGTTAACAATAAGGTATTGTGCAACTCAAAATTTAAGAGGGTAGATTTCATATTAAATGTTCTTAACACACGCATACAACAAAAAAAGGAGACACAAGTAAACTTTTAGAGTTGATAAATATATTTATTACCTTGATTATGGTGATGGTAACACAAGTGTATACATGTCTAAATTGTACACATTAATTATGTACAGTTTTTTATATACCATTTAAACCTCAGTGGGGATGGGGGAAAAAAGGAAAGAAAAATGCCTTTGTCTATCCATTCTTTCCACTTTGGAGATACAATCATGATTAGACTAATGCAGTTTCACACAATATGAGGCCAAGTAATGAGGACATTACTGCCAGGCCTGCCTGCCAATTTCCACCCATAGGCAACAGTTTCATATGTTTTATTGTCAACTAACACTGCTTCAACTTAAACTACACATTGTATACAGGAAACTTTTAGGAAAGGTAAGTCTACTTTACAAGATTTATGAGGCTAGGCATGGTGGCTCAAACCTGTAATCCCAGCACTTTGGGAGGCGCACGGATCACCTGAGGTCAAGAGTTTGAGACCAGCTTGGCCAATGTGGCAAAATGCTGTCTCTACTAAAAAATACAAAAAATTAGCTGGGCATGGGGGCGCACGCCTGTAATCCCAGCTACTTGGGAGGCTAAGACACAAGAATCACTTGAACCCAGGAGGCAGAGCCAAGATCATGCCATTGCACTCCAGCCTGGGTGACAGAGCCAGACTCCATCCCCACCAAAAAAGCTGGGGGGAAAGGGGGATTTATGAAAGGGAGTCCAGGTAGAAGTAGGGTCCCTGAGAACACGTCAGTTTGATAGGAACATGTGGTCACAGGCAAGTGAGGGGCGCTACAGTGTGCTAGTTCAAGTTCACACCACTCAGTCCCTGGAGACTCATTAATCATTATTAAGCTAGGCATTGTCACTTATAAGCAAAATTATTACCATGGGATAATGATAAACACAATGATTTTCCTATAATAACAACCAGGGGGAAAAAAATTGAAAAGAAATCATTCCATAAAGAGCCAGATAAGCACCATTTAAAAGCAGTGTCATACATGGTTGAGTATCTGTTTGGAAGGACTAACTCAAACATAATCCCAGTCTTAAACTAGAATATGCAAATAGTACTTGTGTTAATGCTAAAAATGTTCTCCAGAAAGCTCTTATTGAAACACAAGGCTACTTGAGGGGTAGTCCAAGAAAGATGAGAAAAGACCAATTCCAGCAGAGAGAGCAGAAAAGCATTCTCAGGAAAACAACAGCTATTTATCATAAGTAGAAGTTTCAAGTTTGTACTTGGGTTCCCTATTGGGCTATAAAATAAATGTTCTCAGATTCACAAGTTTGAGATATAGAATGACAGCCATAGAATTAATGTCAGGTGTTGAAAATGAATAAAGCAAAGAAAATGTATCCCTTTTATATAAATATAATACAGCATAGAATGTACTGAGTTAATTTATTCATTTAATTAGCATTTCCTGAGCACTTACAAGACATATGACTAGGTGCTTTGGAGAAGAAACATAATATAGGACTCAATTTTTTTGTGTGTCCAAAAACTTCTAAGCTATCTGGAGAGCTGTTCAGAGCCACAAAGTAGATGAATAAGCCTAGCCACTAAGTTACAGTGTTCACATGGAGAAACTAAGCTTTCTGTCACATCATTTAATTCAGCCTAATTAATCAATTAGTCTTGGAAAATATAGGTGACATCCTCAAATCCATTTGACTTATCCGTCATTTGAATATGGAATCGAAAAATTGCTTGGGCCAGGTGCAATGGCTCATGCCTGTAATACCAGTATGTTGGGAGGCTGAGGTGGGAAGATCACTTGAGCCCAGGAGTTCGAGACCAGCCTGGGCAACATGGCAAAACTTAGTGTCTCCAAAAAAATTTTTTTTAATTAGCTAGATATGGTGGCGTGTGTCTGTAGTCCCAGCTACTCAGGAGGCTGAAGCTGGAAAATCGCTTAAGCCCAGGAAATCAAGGCTGCAGTGAGCCAAGATGGTGCCACTGCACTCCAGCCTGGTCAACAGAGTGAGATCCTGTCTCACAAGATAAAGAAAAAAAGAAAAATTGCTTGGGGATACATATATAATATTCCCAAATCAACTCCCAAATAGTATCTCAGCCAACAGACAGAAGAAATAGCCAGAGGTCTTTAACAGCTTGACTTGAACAGATAAAGAAGAAAATCTGTTCTTCAGAGAACTCTCTGGGGAGAAGGCCCAAACAATGAGTATATATTCTGTAAGAAGCTTCTCATCTCACCTACATTTGCTCAGCAGGTCCAGCTAAGAGAGGTCTGAGAGCTCTACTTATGCTTCACACACCCAGGACCCTAGGGAAGTTTCTTTTCTGTTAATTAATTCAATCAACAATATACATAAACATGTGTATAGAAGACTTTGGGATACACGAATTCATACAAATAGTGAAGATGCCCACCTTACCCTTAAGAAATGAACAATTTAGTCCTAAAAACAAGATATGAAAAATGTTAAAAACAAATAATATAAGAAATACCAAAATGGATATTAGATACTGCCACATAATACATCATGGAGAAGGAAAAAGGAGAACGGGAGAGAGGAAACCAACACTGGAGTTTCCGGTGACAAAAGAACAGGGTAGTAGACTAAATTCTGCAAGGAGTGAACCAAAAAAAATAAATAAGTAAATAAATAAAATAGGACAGGATAGGAAGAATAAGGAGTAGGAAGAGCAGAAAAGTAGAGAAAGTAGCTAATAAAACCCACGTGTAAAAGAAGAGATGGCAAAATTCACACAGCATCTCAATGTGGGAGACAGGACGAAAATTCACACATATCACAGCAGGGTAGAAAGGGGAAGTGCTATGGGAAACTGGAAAATAAACACATAATAATAATGCTAGCTATGCTGATGAGAGGCTGCAGAAGATCACTGTGCCTCACATAATGGGAACAGTTATAACTGGAAGTGATGGTTATAGCCAACTGGAAGTGCTAGGTTTATAAACCATAACCAGGATTATGGCTAACACACTGGTATGGAAAGAGACTTGCATAAACCATTTGTAGCTGACTCTGTACACTGCATGTGTAAAGAAGGAAACAGGTGCTCTCAGTCTCATATCACTGTCACTTGAAGAGGGAATAAATGAGGCTTATATAATCTTGAGAGAGAGGCAACCAGTGAGAAAGAAACATGACACTATTGGCCTCCTTCTGTTTGAAGCCCAGTTATCCCTCAGCTTCCAAGACACCATTATATCCTGGCTCTTCTACCTCTCTGTTTAATCCTTTTTTGTCCCCTCATTTAAATGCTGCCACTCTCCAGCTTCTACCCCAGTCCCTTTTCTCACCATACACATCTTATCCCTAAGCATTCTCCTCTTCACCTATGGCTTCAACTGACCAAAATATTTCTCCAAAGCAGACTTCTTCCCTGAGTGCCGGCTTCAGGTTTCTAACTATCTTCTGTACTTCTCCTCCTTCCTATCTGTTCTATAAGAATCTCAAATATAAGACTGTCCATAACTTATATTAATCCTCATCCTACTGAATGGCATACCACCCACCCCATCGTCCAAGCAAATCTTTTGGTTCTACTCCTGAACACCCTCTATTCATCCTTTTCTATGTCTTCTGTTATTGTCCTAGCCCCAAACCTCATAATCTTTGCCTTTAACTATCACAATAATGGTCCTATAGGAAGCAATATAGGCTGAGTGCAGTGGCTCACACCTGTAATCCCACAACTTTGGGAGGCCAAGACGGGAAGATTGCTTGAGCCCAGGAGTTTGAGATTAGCCTGGGCAACATAGCGAAAACCCCATCTTTACAAAAAATAAAAACATTAACCAAGGTGTGGTGGTACATGCTTGTAGTTTCCACTACTCAGGAGGCTAAGGCAAGAAGATCGCTCGAGCCCAGGAGTTAGAGGCTGCAGTAAACTATGATCATACCACCATGCTCCAGCATGGTTGACAAAGTGAGATCCTGCCTCAAAAAAAAAAAAAAAAAAAAAAAAAAGAAGCAATATACTAAGAGCCCAGAGGATTGGAAATGTCTCCCCATAAAAATAATAACCATCCCTATGTCCCTCTGAGCTGCACTATAAAACATGCAAATTGATTTCAGTTCCATTTCCAATTTCACAGCAAATTTCAGTACGTTTTCTCATTCAGCCCCTTCATGTCCACCTCTACCTTCCAAAAAAACAAGCATAATCTTCTGAGAAAGGAAGACCTTTATAGATAAGGAAACTAGTGCCCTATGAAGCTAAATGATTTGCCTAGTCCTTCAATATATTCTATACTTTTCTCCCATTTTCTAGAACAGGAACACAAAATTCCTGAAACTTAAGGAGACAAAAGAAAGAAATACCAAGTTTTTAAAGCCAAAGTTTAATTAAAATCATAATATACTAAACTTTGTCATACACGAGAAACTCTACTAATATTTATTCATTTTAATTAATTGAATATAGGACATTTTACTCCATAAAGCAAAAGGATTATAAGCACAGAAATCTTCAGCCTCTAAAACAGATGACTTAGGCACACACAAAGATACAGTCTCTCACATGCATGGCCACATTCCTTCAAAGAGCCTTCTGAGAATCAAAGAAAGATGAAGTTTAATGTCATGCTAAGTCTGCTGTACTCTATTCTAATTCTGGCCATTGAGAAAATCTGCCTATGTAGTATTTGCACCAACACAAATCAATTGGGAGTTTACCTGCATTATCATTCATCTCCAGGAACAAATTACAAATCCATGAGAAAACAAAACTGCACTTGTGCTTCACGTACCATGAACCTCACTTATTTCTGTAACTCCTCAGTTTTCAAAAGAGTATTTAACAGTGCCAGTACATTTTATAAATCTCAAAAATACACAAAATCTTCTAATTGTTTCATCCAATGCAATTTCCTTTAAAAGATTATGAAATATGTAGGCACACTGCTGCAGCAAAATACTTACAACATGAAATCCTGTTCCCAGGAAGGCTGATCACCACGAACTGCTACAGTTGTGCTCTTCACATTCTGTACTTTCAGGGTCACATATGTGTTAAATTTATCTTTGAAAAAATACAAAATGGAGACAGAATACTTAGTGCTCAGATTGTTACCCAATCTCACAAAGTCCTTGGAATTAAGCAATATAGAAATTAAAGTATTACATGTGCAGGAAAAAAATAAGCTATATATTGTATAATACAGCTTCATTCAAGACACAGTAGAGTTGCCAAAATTATAAAACTACGTACTATCTTCAGGAGCATAATCTAAAATACTGTTTTTTAAATTTTAAGAAATTTTATGTATGACCCAACAAATATGCATACACACACACTCAAACTGAAACAGATTCATGAATGCCAAGATATGATACATTGATATTTCCTATTCTAATTTATTTAATCTATTAGAATGTTAATGCTAACCTACTAAGTTAATTACATAGCCTACTTGCCGTCTGGGGGGAAAAATCCAAATCTAATTGATCTGCTAGGAAAGATAAGGTACATAAATTTAATAAAATGTAGAAAGAGATAAGTACCACAAGGAAAAAATAAAAAAGTGATAAAGAACTGCAGAGCTGTTAATAAGGACAAAATTTAAGGAAAAATCTTCACAAACAAATTAGATTTCAATCTTGATCTATTCAGTTTGGCCTAAAGCACAAATTACATAAAAAGAAATCTCTTTTTTTTTTTTGAGACAGAGTCTTGCTGTGTCACCCAAACTGGAGTGCAGTGGCATGATCTTGGCTCACTGCAACCTCCACCTACCAGGTTCAAGCAATTCTCATGCCTCAGCTACCCAAATTGCTGGGATTATAGGTGTGCGCCACCATGCCCAGCTTTTTTATTTTTTGTAGAGACAAGGTTTCACCACGTTGGCCAGGCTGGTCTCGAACGCCTGACCTCAAGTGATCTACCCATCTCAGCCTCCAAAAGTGCTGGGATTACAAGGATGAGCCACCACGCCCAGTCAAAAAAAGAAATATTATCAGAGTTGAGAAAAGGAAATTCTCTAACCTGAGAGTTGAGTACTAAACAAGTTGATTACTAAACAAAGGTGGTGGCCTGAAACTTCAGACTCAGGCGTCTCACCTAATTCTTACTACAGCACATTTGGCACTCGCCTCACTACATCCACATCAGCCATGATTGGGGCACTGAATTGAGGGTTTGCTTTTCTATGTAAGAAATTAATGCTAATTTTATACAATGAAAAAATAGCAAACTATCACTTTGACTCATCAAACTGGCAAACATTGCTTAACATGATTACCTAATGTTAGAGAAAATATAAGAAAATGGGACCCATTATACACTTTCAGCTGAAGGTAAATCTTTCTTTTAAATATCATTTAAAATGGTGTAGTTTTATACTTATCAACATGGAAAATTTACAATTATATTAAAGATATATGAGGATAAAAGCCTATACAAGGAGAATCTCCATCCATATCTACTAGTGGTAGTGCAGTAGGCCACTGAGCTATGTTTTATATCACATTATTTTGTACTCCACCCCAACATCCAATCACACATAGCTGACCAGACCAAGAGTAAATAACCCAAGAGCAGCCAATCCATGAGCTGGCCAAAAGCTGAAACAAACCTGATTCCCTCTCAAAAGATATTAAATAGGGTAAAAGGATAAATACTGACAACTGGTGGTTGGTGCTGAAGCTAAAAGGAAGAGGTATAAATTCCATTGAGGCAGCTATTACGGGTGCAAGCATAGACAACCAGCTGGGAGAGAAACAACAGAGCAGATTCTCAGAAAAAAAGAGCCAGCAGACAGAGAAAGATAACAACCTTTAAAACAAGAAACTGCTCAGAAACTGCTTTCATTACTGTTGTACCCAAGGTCCAGTTTTTCAGGTTTTCCTGGGTTCTCAAGCATATTCACACATTTCCAGTAATCCTCCAGCTCCCCTCCCTTCTTCCCCAGCAGTAACCAGAGGAAATCTTCCTAATATGACAATCAAAATTGAGGAAATGCATATTAAAATAAGGAAATACCATTTTAAATCTTCAGACAAAGATTTTAAAGTTTCATATTGAATGTTGATAAGGATTTGGGAAAATAAATGTTCATAAACTTTTGGTCTCGGTATATATAGTAAAAACTTGCAGAAGAAAATTTTGGCAGGAGTTATCAAATTTAAAAAATATATATATATACTTTTGACCCAGCAATTCTACTTCTGAATCTAGTACATAGACACATTTGCAAAAGCAAACAATGAGAAGTGCACATGAACATTTATTCTTTATAATGGCAAAAAGTTGGGAACCTAAATATTAATCAAGTATTAATCAATCAGGGACCTATTAATCCGGGTACAAATCTACAACAAAATTCTGTACAGCACCTTAAAAGAATGAACCAGACACACACATACAAACACACACACACACACACACACTCTTTCATGATGTGTTGCTGGGGGGGGGAAGCAGGTTGCATAAGATATGTTTCACATAGTCTATTTGTATATTTTAAATTTTATATGACCCAATAGATACGTGTACACACACTCTTTTTTTTTTGAGACGGAGTCTCGCTCTGTCGCCCAGGCTGGAGTGCAGTGGTGCGATCTCGGCTCACTGCAAGCTCCGCCTCCCGGG